TTGTGAAACTAGGTTTAGTAAATGAAAGTTTTGGAGAGTAAGGGGCCATGGCCCCTCTTTGCCCCAGTGAATATTCACTTCTTCCTGAGTTAAAAGTGCCTTTAAGGTCCAGGCTATGCTCACCGTTTCCATGTACTTGATGTGATGCAGTTCTCAATCTGTACAAAAACCTTGATTTATTTATAAATATCTCATGCAAATTCTTTGTATGTGGCATGCAAAGGTTTTATTTGATAGAATTATAATTTGAGCTTCTTCTTGATTTGATCAATATAATTTATTGTCAAATATAGAAAACCTCGATTCATTTGAGGTTATGTCTCTGTCTAAGTCTTCTTCAGATTGAAATTCTGGGATGTTCTCAATTACTCCACATGGATGTTGAATTACTCGTTGTTATAAAAGACCAATGGAAATACTAGTTCTAAATTTGGTGGCGGTGGGATGGAATATGCCTTTTTTTTTTTTTGGGGTTTTTGCCCGTCGGGGGGGGGGGGGGGGGGTTCTTTTTTTTTTTCCCTTTTTTCTTACTCTGAGAGGACTATGAACCGTGCTGTGTGCACTGTCTTATAAATAAACTATGCCCATGTGCTTATAAGGACATGCTGACTTAATGGCCTAAATGAGTACAGCTGCAGCGTAAGATCTTGACTTTGTACTATGTGCTTGCCCCTCGTAGCATAATTAAAACTGCAATTAGCCCTCTAAAATTCAACATAACTAATTTCATTTTTCATGATTTGCATATTCATTTGATTCTTGTGTCATTAAGGAAGATGCAATGGTGCCAAAGATTTCTATGACTATATTACAATCCTGGAAACTTGAATTTTGATTTGTCTTACTCTAATAATTGAATTTGAAATATTTATTTGTGCTTTTCTTTCATGTTGGTGTAGTTCTTAATTTTTAATTTTCATTTGACACGAATATTTTCTTACTTTGATCGTCTCGCTTACTCCTTTATCACAATAGTTTTGTGACCTTTTAAGTATTCTTCTTTTAAAAATAAGATGATATTGAATCTTGAGTTCCTGTCTCCGTCGCATATGCAGCATTACTATAGTTTTCTTTGCTAAGGAAGGTGAAGATGGTTGCCTCACCCCAATGAAAGAAAGCTTACTCCCTCCGGTGACAGTGCAGTTTCAAACAGGTTTGGCCCAGAAATTTAGACAACCTTCTGGAACTGGGATAGACCTTTCAATGTTTGAGGAGATAGAATTGTCTAAAAAGGGTGACATGGATGTGTATCCTTTAGCAGTTAAGGCGGAGGCATCCTCAGATAACCAAAATGGAAACCTAGAGAGAGTATCAAAAAACATGCAGATAACTCGGGCTGCTTTTGAGATGGAGAAAGGTGAATATCAGGTTAGGGCAGCGAAGCAAGTATTATGGATTAATGGCATGAGATATGAGTTACAAGAGATCTATGGTATTGGAACTTCAGTTGAGGGTGACTTGGACGGAAATGATCCCGGAAAAGAATGTGTTATATGCCTTTCGGAACCCTGTGACATTACTGTCCTGCCCTGTCGACACATGGTACTTACTGTCTGTCTCTCTAACACACTTTCTACCTGACATGTTACACACACCATATTGGTGTTCTTTGTTCCCAAACTTTCTCTACTCTCTCTTTAAGCGCCCAATTTATTTCACTGGTCATGTGATCTTTTAGGGAAAAATTGCAGCCGATATCCCCAATCTCTGCCTTTTGCACTTCCAAAATAAAAACAACAAATAAGAGGTTGGGAATAAGAGTGCAAAAGATGATAAAAGTTGGGGAAATGACTGCAATTTTCCTTATTTTTTAGCAGTAAGGCGCTCACTAGTAGCTTGTGACCAACCGTAAATTTTTTGGCCTCAATTCTTGTAATGCAGTGTATGTGCAGTGGGTGTGCAAAGGTCTTGAGGTTCCAAACAAACAGGTGCCCCATCTGCAGACAATCAGTCGAGCGCCTTTTGGAGATCAAGGTCAGCAATGGGACTAATGAATGAAAGGATCAGCTGCTCCTACCGTGCTGTGAAATTTTTCTTCATTCGTCTTTTTGTTTTTCGTTTTCTCAGTTTGAAATGCCATCATGCCCAAGGTATGATTTGATTGAACTAAGATATGCGGCAAGTTGATTCCTTGTAAGTGCTCAGAGGCATTTTCTGTATCATACTTTTAAGTTTTAACAATCTCTATACATAAAATCAAGCTTGTTAACCATGTCCGATTTGATTTTCACATTTGTTTATCTGATTTCTCGTAAAACCCAAATCAAGCACGTTTTTTCTTTCTTGTTTCTGGTGAAAACTTGAGTTGTTGTCACATCATTTTTGGCTCTTATTTATTCTCATATGAAATGTTACTGTAGACAATCTCCAGATAATGTAGGTACATCCGATCTTTATCCAAAGACAAGTTCTGAATACCTGAGATGCTGCATTAACGAGTTCGTTCGATTTAAGGATGTTTTTCTATTACAACATAGTGAAAACGTAAATGAAAATGCATAAGTTCAATGGTTTTACTTTAATTGTAAGAATTATATGAAAATGGAAACTTGTCAAACTTGGATGATTGTCAATTGGAAGTTATCGTTGCTGGCAGTTTCCCAGTAGTGATGCTAACTACATGGGCTGGAAATAGTCCGGGATAAGTGGTTGGAGGTTGTAATCAGGGACGAATTCAGAATTGAGCTCAAGTCGGACTAATATGTAGAAAAAAAATAAATTTGCTCATTTTTTTTAGTACATTTAAGAAAAGGGGGCATAGCATAGCCTAATCTCCCTAAATTCGTCTCTGTTTGTAGTTACAAGTGAATAACAGCATTGACAATAGTCCAGTTCAATCCCTTTAAATTCGTCTCTGATTGTAGTTACAAGTGATTGATAGCATTGGCAAATAATAACTATAATAGAAATTGAAAATAACATAATTTTATTACAACGACACATTATACATGATAAAACATTTGTCATGAGATTTTTTAAGAATATATTATTGTCTACTACATTAATAATTAATTCATTGACAGTTATATCTTTAACAAAAAAAAGAAGGATAAATTTTCTCTTCAATGTAATGGCATTTTAAGCTTTTTTATATTCCTTATTATTATTATTATTATTATTATTA